TAATTTTCCCACATTGTTGGCAACACTTGGCATTATCCATCTTTAGTGGTCTTGCATTGTGATTTTAATTTGCATTAGTCACTGGGGAATGATGCTGAGGGTCACTCATTCATTTACTTATTGGCCATTCATATCACCTGTGGTGATGTGTCTTTTGAAGTCTTTGCCCATTTTTATTGCATTATTTATCGTTATTAAATGGTATGTGCTCTCTTTAAAAAAATGTTTTTGTTTTTGTTTTGTTTTGTTTTTTAATTTCAGAAAGGAAGAGAGAAACATCAATGATAAGAGAATCACTGACCAGCTGCTTCCTGCACGCCCCACACTGGGGATCGAGCCTGCAACCTGGGCATGTGCCCTGACTGGGCATTGAACTGTGATTTACTGGTTCATAAGTTGATGCTCAACCACTGAGCCATGCCAGCTGGGCTGTATGAGCTCTTGAAATATTCTGAAGCAAGTCCTATGTCAGGTATATGTATTTTGAATACTTTTATCCCAATGTGTAGCTTAAGTTTTCAATTCCTTAATGGTTTCTTTTGGAGAACAGAAGGTTTTGTTTTGGTAAAAATCCAATTAACAATTTATTATTTTATGGTCATTGCCCTTTATTACCTACCCAAGCAATCTTCACCCATTCCTAGGTTTTCTTCTAGAACTGTGCTATCAAACAGAAATACAGTGTTTGCAACAGTAGATTTACAGCTGTTTGTATGGAAAATAATACAATAAGTTAATAAGACAAGAATGAACTGCTTTATGTACACACAACTGAAAACCTACTTTTGCCTGCCCCATATTATGCCAGCCACATATGTAGCTTTTCCTAGTAGCTACACTAAAAGTAAAAAACAAACAAACAAAAAAACCATTGAAGTTAATTTAAATAATGTATTTTATTTAAACCAATATATCAAAAAATATTATTTCAACATGCAGTCAATATAAAAATTATCATATTCTATTTTTAACCTGAAGTATAATTTATACTGCAGCATGTTTCAGTTTGGACTCTCAGTGGCATGGCTAGTGGCTACCATATTGGACAGGGCATTTCTAGAAGGTTTATAGTTCCTGCTTTTTATTTAGGCCAGTGGTCTAATTTGACTTCACTTTTGTACATGTATACGTTTATTTTTTTCTTCCGTATAGATGACCAGCTCTCCCACCATTTATCTTTTTCCAATGGAATTGTTATACCTTTGTCAAAAATCAATAGATCATATATGTGGGTCTATTTCTGGACTCAATATATTGTTCCACTTATCCTCGTGCTCGTACCATCCTTCTTTGATTATGGTAGCTTTATAGTAGGCCTTAAAATCAGGTATTATAAGCCTTCCAATTTTGTTCCTCTTTTTCACTGTTGTTCTCCTAGGCTCTTTTCATTTCTATATAAAATTTAGAATCTGCTTGTCAATTTCCACAACAAAGCTGACTGGGGTTTTCCCCAGTATAAGGGTTGAAAGAATGGCCCAACCAAATCATATGTCCATGTTGCATTCCCTGAGACTGTGAGTGTTACCTTATTTGGAATAAAGGACCTTTGCAAAGGTATTTAAGTTAAGGATCTTGAGATGGTGACATCATCTCAAGTTATTCAGGTGCAAACTAAATCCAATGACAAGTTTCCTTATAAGATAAACACTCAGAAGAGAAAACACACGGCACATACAGAGGGGAAGACGATGTAAAAATGGAGGCAGAGGTTAGCGTGATGTGGCCAGAAGCCAAAGAGGCCAAAGAATGCCACCAGCCACCAAAAGCTGGGAAGAGGCAAGGCAGGATTTTCCAACAGCGCCACTAGAGGGAGTGAAGCCTCACGGATGGGGTGCTGTGGGACTCGGGGGCTCCAGGATTGTGAGAGCAGAACTTTCTTGTTTTAGCCACAAAGTTGTGCTAATATACCGTAGCAACCGTAGGAAACAAATGCACGCATTATCAGCTTGAGGAAGTTTCATTCTTTTCCTAGTTCTTTTTTTTTTTTCTTCTTCCAAGAATGGGTGCTGGATTTTGTCAGATGCCCTTTCTGCATAAATATTTCCTCCACATAGTTTGTTAATGTGGTCATAATCCATATAGATTCTCTGTTCACATGGTATTAATTTTAGCTTTATCCCATGGCCACTGCCCTTAGTAACACCTGTTCGTGAGAGTGTTAGGTCCTGGCATGTATCAAATTGTAAATATGTTGGCATGAATCCTCCTGCTTTATATTTGCTAAAGTTGTTTTAAGAAGTCATTGAGGAACCTACAGAACAAAACTGTATTTCAAAATACTTAGGAGAGAAAAACGGTGACCATGGAATTTCTCCTGAGTAGTTCTCAATAATAGGTATCACACTGGTAACCCTTGGTTCCAGTTTGGCCTGTGAGGGATACTTCATTTGGCTTCTGTAATGCTTCCAAAATTAGGAAATTTTATATTGAAATACTAGATAGCATGCCTTCCTGGAAGATTATACAGATTTGGCAGCACTGCCCTGAGTTCCAACATGGCAGCAGTTGGCCCGAGCTGCACAGCATCTGCTTCATGCACAAAGAATGTTCTTTTCAGTTTACCGTCATTTCATTCCTTGTTTGTTTTACATGCACAGAGATTCAAGTTTGCAACTTCTGCTCTAGAACCCCTCTTCTCCCCCCTACTCAATTTTTAAAAACAGATTCTGTTGATATATGGTATGTCTACAAACCCCATCTCCACCCTCTCTCCCCCACCCCCATTCCTGCTACAAGACTATTGAGGGGAAAGATGATCAGACCAAATCCTGAGAATTTTCTCAAATGTCCCCCAATTAGACAAGAAGTCAGCGAAGTCTCTGTGAAACACCAAAGAAGCTTTGCATACCACTGGATCTTGCAGGAAAGTTTGCCACCTTCTAGGGTACTGGGCCAAACTGGGCCAGTGAGCTCAAGCTCATAGGCTTGGGATAATCCCTTGGCTGCCTTGAAGGTGGCCTGGTGAGGATATCAAGGACTCTCAGAAGTGATGGCTGATTTCCCCCAGTCAGCTCTATTCTCAGTCTCAACCTGAGTTCCACCCCTCTCCCCCTATCACCTCTGCCCTCATTTGAAAACCCTTCAGCCACAGAAAAAGCAGAAACAACATTCAGTCTCAGGATAGGGAAGACAGACACTTGTACTATGTTAGCTCAAATACAAGGTCTGTTGTTAACTTTCAAGGATAAGCAAGTTACAAATTATGATTTGGCCGTTATGCAAAAACGCCATAGCATGGGAGACGGGAGTGTAAAGCAAGGAAAACGGCATGCAGCAAACAAATGAAGAACTAAGTCTGGAAGAAAACAACCAAGGAACGGAAATGTATCTTCCTCATATGTGCTTCACTCTATAGAAAAAAAGAATTAAGAATGGAGTCCTCAAAATAGCTCAACAATAGAAGATGAAAAAGGAAATTGCAGAGCTAAAAAAATTGAAATTCTAAACAATGTGACTTTAAAATCCAATAAACCACAAAAACCAATGAACAGAATATTTTGAGAGAATCAGAGTTAGTGCAAATCAAAAGAAGATGTATGTTGAAAAACACAGATCAAGTATAAGGATAAATGGTGACTCTAAGGCAGAAAACCCAACCAATAAAAGAAACTTATTCAGATATACGATACGAATGGGATACTGTACCAAGAAGAGAAGATTGGGGCCCGTAGGCTGAAAGATAATACTGTGTACTGGGGGATATAGAATAATTGATTCTGAGCCATACCCTGCATAAGGATATAAAGTATACTTGAACAGTCAAGTATTTAAGGCATCCAACGAGGAAGATCAAATCACTTGGTATGGAAAAACCACACAGGATTCTGATTCTCCACAGAAACCTCTGTCAAACATCAGGGAACCAACTGCCTTCCTGTTCTGTTATGTTTTGAAGGGAGGCGTCCATCCAAAATATTTACCCTGCTCAGTTTTTATTTATGTATAGAGATTAAAAAAAACCAAAAAACAAAAAAACCCCAAACCCCAAAACACACAAACCCACATACAGAGAGGGTTCCTATGTTAAGGTTCTCTATCGCCCTTCTTAAGGAAACTACTTGAAAAAGGGGGCAGCCCACCAAAAATAAAGAAAAATAAATAAATTTAGGAGTGGATAGGTTAGGAAGAACCTTGAATTCATTTAAGTGTAGGATTGAGACGGAACGTCTGAGGGAGCCGGGCGGGGCGGAGAGCTGGTCAGTGTTCCGTGCCCTGAGCCAAGAGTAACACGGGCCGTGGAAACTGGGAGGCCGAGGCGAAGGCGGGTGGAACGTGCTGCGAGCCTCGTATTTCAGGGCTCTGAGGCTCTGGAAAATGCAGCGCATTCCTTATCTTTCTCCATCTCTCTGCTTCGTGTGTATAGGGCTCTTAGGAATGCATATCTGCTAAGGGAGAAAATAACTGCCTGAGAGATTTGCTTCAGTTTCTTTTTCTTAAATTCAAACATATGGAACCATTGTCAGTTGCTCACAGCATACATGGTAGGACCCCCCCCCCCCCCCCAAGCTATTCAATGATGTCCATCTAAGTCTCTCTGTGCCTTCGAACGGTCCTCTGCAATCGGGGATGGCAGCCTTTCTCACGGGGTTACCATGGGGGGCACCTCTGTGCCCGTGAAGGGCTCAGCACGGGGCCTCGCTCCCCGATAGCGGCCCCAGCGAAGCTGCCATCGCCAAGGCAGCTCGAATGGAGTTAAGAGTGGGGCCCGCTGCTGACATCTGCCGCCGCCTGCCTGGGCTGCGATCGGCCCGGGCGGCTCATCCCGCGGGCACCGGAGCGCACACGGGCCGTTACCCGGGGCTTCGGGCCAGCCCGGGTCTACCTGCGCCCGCGCGGCACCTGGGCGACCCTGGCTTTGCGCGCACGCATGACTCCATCTGCCAGGCGTCTGGGCGCGCAGCCCGCTCCCCCGCCCGGGCCCCTACCCCGGGCTCCCCGCGGGGCCTCCTCCCGCCACGTGACGCCCCGCCAGGAGGGGGGCCCCAGCGTCCGGGCTCCGCCTGCGCGGCCTCCCCTTCGCGGCTGCCAAGCGGCCAAGCCCACGGCATCTGCCACTTGTCACTCAACCCGGCGGCACCGCCCCGCGCCTTGATTTAGGCGCTGCGGGGCGGACTCCGGCCTCACTCTCCGGCTGGACTGACGGACGGAGCGGCTCTCCTCTTCTCTCCTCTCTTCTCCTCTCTTGTCTCTTCTCCTCTCTTTGCTCATCTCATCTCGGCTCGGCTCATCTCATCTCGGCTCGGCTCAGCTCAGCGGCATCTTCGCGGCACTAGCCCGGATTTGCCGCTGGTGGCCGCAGGGCGACGCGCCTGAGCTGCCTCGCCTGAGTTCCGTGGACTCTCGACCCCGAAGGGTAGGTGGCTGGTGCCCGTGGCTCGCGCCGTGGCCGCGCTCCGTGGCCGTGGGGCTGGGGTGGCGGTGGGGCGGGCGGCGGGCGGCGGGCGGCAGGATTGCCGCGGAGCAGAGCGAGGACCGCGCTCCGTGCCGCGCCGGGAGGGTGTGCCGCGCCGGGAGGGTGTGCCGCCGCCGCCGCGGCAGCCGCCTCCGATTCGGTTCGGGAAGGTCCACGGTTCGGGAAGGTCCACTCTCCGTGGCTCCTCTTCTCCGAGGACCTGGCGGGAAACGCCGCCGGATCGCCCCCGGGCGAGCCCCCTCGGCTGGAGCCCCGCTGCTCCCGCAGGTCGGTCTTCTCGCCCCTCTCCGCAGCGCCCGCGTTTGCGGGGCATGCAGGCGGTAGGCTCGGTTTTCGAAACCTGGCGCTCCAAACTTTGCCAAAAAGACTCTTAAAAAGTCCGTTAAAAGTAACAACGCGACTCCACACGGGGATGTTTGCAGGTTTGTAAATGCATTATGGAAAATGTGATTTGTTTTATGCTTTCAGAGTGTGGATGTATCCGATAGGCTCTTTAAACGATTTTAAAATGTGTCTGGATTAGGATAAGTGATAATGTAATTTTTTGTTATTTAGTTTTCAGCATCAGACTGGAGAGACGCCGGTGGTGATTTTTACTTCTTAATAAATATACTCCTGTAATTTTGACTTTCTCTCTCCCGCAGCCCTCCCCCGCAACAAATGTGTTACTTTTATGTTTTTAGGAAACCAATAAAAAATTAAAAATAGAAACACTCAACTTAGGTCCTCCTTCTTCTAGGAATCCTTCCCTAACCCCTCCCTCCCCAGGCAGGAGCCGAGAGAGGCCCCTCCTGAGAGCTTTCTGAGGCCCCAGCGAGGTCTGGGTTCCCAATGTCCTCCCCCACCCATCTCACCCCATACCCCTGGGTATTAACCCGTCAGTCTGGCGCGGAGCCAGCCCAGTGGGTCTTCAGCACACGGTAAGTGATTAATACTGTTTAACGACCGAAGGAAATGGTAAAACGGCCTTATGTTTCACGGTTTTCGCTCTAACATCAAAGAGTGGTAAAATTAGATAAGAACACTGGTCCGAAAGTTAAGAATCTGGAAAAGCTGACAGCAGCCGATGCCCCTGTTCCACGTCCTCTCGGGTATTTATCCTCTAGAGCGGTGTTTTTCAAAGTTTGGAGCCCATTTGTGTGGGTCTGAAGTCGGTTAACGTGAATAATGATCAGGACTTGTTCAACACGCATTGACAAAGAATGGAAAAAATATCGGAATGTATAGCATTGGGTATTGGCTTCATGAAAAAAAAATTTTTTTCCCCTCTCAATTTTATGCATACACACAGATGTGTCTCATGATGAAAAACGTCATTCTTGAGTATGTATGAGTGATGGTCAAAAAAGTTGGAAAGCCACTGCCCTAGATACGTTTTCATATATACACACAAGCAGACGTGTACCAGAAGGTTTGCTGAAGTGTTATTTTAATAGCCCCCAAAGCTGGAAGCAACCTGTATGTCCATCTGAGAGGAGAAAGGTAGATTATTCTCTAGTCACGAAGTGTACCCACCCAGGACAGTGGTGAACGGAGTAGTTTTGCACTTTAACACAAATGCATCTCAAAGTTGAGCCAAAAAAAAAAAAAAAATTAAGTTGTTGAAGAATACTGTATGATGTCATCTATGTAGAATTCAGAGCCTGATGAAATAAAGCTGTTGATAAGGATGCGTGCATAGGCATTGCGAGTAGTAAAGAAATGAATACCTTAAAAGTCAAGTTAGCGGTCATCTCCTGGGGGTGGCGGGGGCTGTGAGAATGAAGGGACACACTCAGGGCTTTGGAGATGCGGGAAATGTTTTGTTTCCTGACCTGGGCAATGGTTACATGGGTGTATTTGCTTTATAACTCTTTGTTAAATGATACATATGTCTGTATATTAACCCTCCCCCCAACATATTAAAATATGGGCATCTCAGAATGAAGAGACATGAAGCCAGGACTTCAGTCTATTATTAATATTTTCCAGCTGCTCTTTAAAAAAAAAAGTCATGACCAGGGAAAGGTATCTAGGAAATCTAAATAATATCAGAAATATTTTATTTCATAAATGTTATATTCATAAAATTTTAAGGATTTTATATCCTAAATAACATAATATTTTAAAATATATTAAGAATAAAAATCATTCACAGATAATAAATGCTCACATTTTGGTGTGTTTTCTAAAATGCAATTTTTGTGTATTTTTTAAAACAAAACTGCAATTATATTCTATATAGTAATTTAAATATGAAAAATTATATATGTCTTTTTTTGAAAAAATCAAAGACTGAAAAACATATAAAAACCTAACAGACTTTCATCAGAGATTTTAATATGCTAACATGTTGTCATACTTCAAAAATTTCAATTCCTCAGTCTTAGACTACATTTCAAGTGCTCAATAGCCAAGTGTGATTAGTGGCTATTATATTTTATGATATTATTTTACATTATACTCTATCGTTTAACAGAACATTTCTATCATTGTTTAAGATACAAACCCTTTGTTGATTAAATCTTTTCTTAGTGTTTTTTGTATCTTAAGATAGTCTTCTCTACTATTAAGGTAATATAATTTGAAATTCTTTTCTAAAAAATGTTGCAGTTTGTATCTTTTATATATTTAAATCTTTAATTTACCTGACTCATAAATGTATATATGTATGTATCAATGTATAGTTTTTATGTTGTGAGATTAAGCTTAATCTGTTTTCTTTTTCTGGTGTGGAGCAGTCCTGGGACCAGTGGTCTGCAGTGCCACCTCCGTCATAAACATATTTCCAGATATGCTTGGGCTCATTTCTGGGCTCTTTATACTGCAAATTCTACAGATTTTTATTCATTATTGCTTTACATTTAGTATATTTTTCAGTTCTAAAAATTAAAATTTTTTCCATTATTTTTTTTTTAATGAGATTTTTAGAAGTATTATTTACTTCCAAACCTGGAAGGTTTTGAGTTTTCCTTTTGTTACTGGTTTCTAACTTGCATTGTTAGTCAGGAAATGAGGGCTCTATGCTACTGATTCTTTGAATCTTTGAAATTTGAGAATTGTTTTATGGCTTCCAGGTTACTTTTTCAACTGCTTTTTGAAAGATTGAGAAGAATATGTACTCACAGACTTTTAGGGCAAGGTACTAACACACACACACACACACACACACACACACACACACATCCATATATATATGTCTTAGATTAAGCATAAGAATTATGGCACTCAAATATTTTTAACCTTACTAGTATTTTGGTTTGTTTGATCTATCAATTACTGAGATGGGTGTAATAAAAACATTACAATAAAATAATGTGTTGTCTCAATTTCTTCTTGTAATTCTGTCACCTTTGCTTTATCAAAGTTGAAAGAATATGCAAGTTCGGAATTACTTTATCTTCTCAGTGAATTGGAGCTTTTGTCATTCTATAGCTGCCTCTCCCAAATGCCTTTTACCTTAAAATCTGTTTTGTTTTATAATACTGGAGTCACACCTTTCTCTTAGCATTAGCTTAGACTTTTAAAAATAAAAAACCTGATTTTTTTTTAATCTAAACTGCCAATCATTGTCCTTTTACTGGGAGCTCTCAGCCCAATTAAGTTTAATATAATTACTGATATACTTGGGATCAAAGTTAGCATTCTGTTTTATGGTGTGGGATTTTTTTGTTTTTGTTTTTGTTTTTAATCCTATTTTCTTTATGTGAGTTTTTTTTTCCTTTGTCACCTTTTGGATTTTTTCTTATTCCATTTTCCCCTCTCTCAGCTAGTATGAAAATTATATATTTGATTTCTTTCTTTTCATCATTTCCTTTAAATTTTTAATGAATAAACTTAAGTTACTATAAAGTTTATTAATTCTATTCTTATTCCAAATAATTCAAGAAACTGAGTTTGCTAAGACTCTAGTTAGTTTCCTGGCTCACGTGTTATTGTCACCCAGAATTTTAGATCCATCTTGATTTTTTTTTCTCCTATTTTACATTATTTTTTTCTTTTTATGGATTCTTTGTCATTCTTTCTTGTATCTCAGATTTCTCTTTCTTGTATCTCAGGTATATACTTTAGAAGTTTTGGTTGGTATATAATTTCATGTACACAGTGTCTTTCTCAGACCTTTGGAGGTGTCATTTCCTTGACTTCAACTTCAGTGTTACAGTTGTTCACATAACTATTTGTTGATAATCTGTCTCTTTTTTTGCTGGATTTTAAGACCTCTTTTCTCTTGTGTTTTACAGTTTTACAACAGAGTGTGTCCAGGTGTGGCCATTTCATCTATCCTGAATTGATTGTGTTTCCTGTGTCTAAGGTTAGTGTTTCGTCAGTTCTCAAAAGTTTTCTCCTTTATCTCTCTCAATATTGTTTCCCCTCCATTCTTTCTTTTCATTCATTCAAGAATTCTGATTCAACTTCTGTTAGGCTTTCTCATTCTGTCATCCATGTCTTTTAATTTTAATGCAGCTTTTTTGTTTTTTTTCTCTCACCATGTTGAATTCTAGGTAATTTTAGACCTGTATTGTGATCTTTGTCTAACTTTTGTTTTCTCCAAGTTTATATACAATAAAAACAAAAATAAACTGTGTGGCTTATTGAAATTTATGCCTGTGTGATCACCATCCTGATAAAGGTAAAAAACATTTTTATCCCTGCAAAAGTTCCCTCCTCTTCCTTACTGTCATCGGAACAACTCCTCTCCCCTAGTTAAGTACTCTCCTGACGTCTCTCACCATGGATTAATCTCAGGTATTCTTGAACTTCTTATAAATGGAATCATATAGTTTATTCTTTTTATGTTATTTTCTTTTGTTCACAGAATAATTTTTAGATTCATCCTTGTTGCTATATAAATAGTTTTGTTTTTGTTTTTGCTTTTTAACAAGGGTTGGCAAACTATGGCCTGTTAGCCCATGCAGCCCAAAACATATGTTATTAAAATGTTATTGGACATAGCCATGTCCTTTCATCAGAATTGAGTAGTTATAACTGAGACCATATATCCCACGAAGCTTAAAATATTTTCTATTTAACTCTTTATGGAAAATGTTTGGTTTATATGGATATATCACAGTTTACTTATCCTTTCTCTTGTGGATGAATATATGAGTTGTTTTCAGTGTTGGGCCATAATAAATAAATAAATAAATAAATAAATAAATAAATAAATAAAACTACTGCAGATGTTCATGACACCACCCTAAATATATGGAACTGAACTGTGGTCTTTGGGTAAGATGGTTGCATTTCCATGAGTATTAATAATGTTAAACATCTTTTTATGTCTTTATTGACCAGATAGACTCGTTTTGTGAAGTTCCCTCAAAGTCATAAAGAGATTTGCCTCTAGTTTCCTCTATAAGCTTTATCATTTTAATCCTCACAGTTGGGTCTTTGATGTACCTCCAGCTGATTTTGTCTATAGTGCGAGATGGGGGTCAAGGATTATTTTCCACATGGACATCCAGCTGCTCCACACATTTATTGGGAAGACCTTTCTTTTCCCATCAGGTTGCAGTGGGGTCTTGGTTAAAAATGAATAATCATATTTTGGATTCTTTTCTGTACTCTATTCTGTTCCACTTGAAATACTGATCAATTCTCCATTGGTACCACACTTTTTAAATTAATGTAGTTTATTTTAAGTCCTGACATACCAATAGTGTAAAGCCTCCAATTTTGTTCTTCTTAAGGACTTTTAGCTATTCCATTTCTATATAAATTTTAGAATAAGCTTGTTAATGTCTGTTTTTTAAAAAGTCTACCAGGCATTTGATTGTGATCGCACTGACTCTAGAACAAATTTTAGAGAATGGAAATCTTAACAGAATCTTCCAATCTATGAACATGGTATATCTCTCAATTGAATAAGTTTTTCAGTTATTTCTAGCATTATTTTGGTGGTTTTAGTGTGGAGACCTTAATGCCTTATTAAATTTATTTCTAGGCATTTTATTTATGCTATTGTAAATGTCTTTTTCTCAATTTTATTTTTCAATCATCTTTTTGGTATCTAGAAATACAATTGATTTTGTATATCGAACTTGTATTTTATGTCCTTGGTAAATTAACTTTTCAGTTCTGGTAGCTTATAGATTGTTGGGGATTTTATAAATGCACAATCACATCATATGCAAAAAAAAATTTTGTTTTAATTTGCCTTTCCAACCTCTACTCCTTTTTTCTTTTTCTTATTACACTGGCTGGGAACACTGGAAGGATATTTAACAGAAGTGTTTAAGATGGACATACTTGCTTTTTTCTAAACTTAAGGGAAGATAATCAGTATTTTACTATTAAAGATAATATTTACTGTATTTTTTGAAGGGGAGGTGATAAATGCCTTTTACAAGATTGATAAATTTTCTTCTATTCCTGGTTTATTTAGATTTGTTTTCACTAATGGGTATTAAATTAAAAAAATGTATTACTAAATAATTTTAGATTTATGGAAGAGTTGCAAAGATAGTATAGAGTGTTCCTATACACCCTTCACCAACCTTCCTCTATGTTAACATCTTACATAACATGGTATATTTACCAAAATTAAGAAATTAACACTGACACAATACTATTAACTAAATGACAGACTTTATTCAAGTTTTTCCATTTTCCCCACCAATGTCCTTTTTCTGTCCCAGGATCTAATCCTTATACCAAATTGCATTTAGTTGTTATGTCTCCCTAGGCTACTGCAATCTGTCACAGTTTTTTTTAGTTTTTACTTGTTTTTCATGACCTTGTCACTTTTGAAGAGTACTGGTCATGTATTTTGTACAGTACCCCTCAATTTGGGTTTGTATGATGTTTTCTTACTATTAGACTGAGGTTGTGGACTTTGGAGGAAGAATACCACAGAGATATTGTGTCCTTCTCTTGCATCCTATCTAAGGGAATGTGATATCCACATCAGCATGTTAATCTTGATCACATAGCTTGGATGGTGTCTACTAGATTCCTCCATTGTAACATTATTATGTTTTCACTTTCTATCTATTAGAAGCAAGTCCACACACATGGGGAGGAGAGGGAAAAGTATCAAATGATTTGAGAATATATATTAAAACTGCCATGGTAATTAGTAAATATTTTGAGGGTTTGCAAAGGTCCTATTTCTCCTTAAGTCTGTCCACAAATTTTAGCATTCAGCTGATCTTGCCAGCAGCAATTATTGTGGTATTCTAATGGTGATTTTCCATTTTCTTCATTCTTCCTACATTTATTAACTGGAATTCTGACTCTGGAGCCAGATTGCCTGGGTTCAATTCCTAAGTGTGCCTCTTCTTACCTCCACAGAGTAACCTTGGGCAATTTCTTAACTTCTCTATATTTCAATTTTCTCATCTATAAAATGTAGATAAAATGTCTACCAAGAAGGTTGTTGAGATCATTAAATGAGCTCATACATAGAAAGGGTTAAGAATTGTGCATAGTCCTAGGGATATAGTTATTTTTTCCTTTCTGTATTTCGTAATGTGGCAAGTTATTTTAATTTTAATTATTTTAATATATTAATTATAAAATTATCTTGTACACCTGGGTAAACCTTACACATATTTCTATGATCTGGATTTTAACTAGTTTAATTTTTTTCATATACCACTCATGTCATACAGTGGCTCTTCTTTTGCCATAGCACAAGACATAATGAATGATAAATTCCTGGAAAAAAAAAAAAGATTACACAAGAGCTTAGCAACTGAGGTGGCAACATTCCCAACTTTCTAGAGCGATTTATATCTGAGTCTTTGGGTAGAGACAGAGATCAAGATAGCTCTTGCAAATGAGTCTTTTTCAATATTGAATTGAGCAAATTCAAAACTTGACATATATTATGAAAAATGGGACCTCAATGGGAAGGAAAAATAATCTTAGCTTTTCTACATGTTTCACCTTGAACAATGTTTTATTGTAGAGATTTCAATATTTGGAATATTCTGAAAGATTCATTTGCCAACAGTATGTATTGAGTACTTTTGATGTGATAGGCAATATGTTTTGCTGGTTTGGGATTCTTCTCTGCTCTTGAGCATATGGGCTGTGTCAGGATCATTTCAAAAGCTGAAGGCAGGCCTACTCGAATCATTCAAGGAAATTCAATGTCTGTTCATTCTTAAAATAAGGGTAACATTGAACTCTGTTTTTTCGGCTTATTTCTTTCACTCCTATGAGCATCTTTGATTAGACCCTTATCATCCTATGTTTTTTCTCCCCATATATTTTTCCTTCCCTTTCTAGCATGGCTAATGACTACTGGGGTCAGCTCTCTAAAAAACAAACAAACAAAAAATCCTTCAGTGACATGCCAGGGCTTGAGAAAACAGGTCTTTGACAGTGGTCCTTCTCTGTCTAGTCCCAACTTGCTTTGCTAGTCTCATAGTCTTATTTCTCAGAGTTATTCCAGTAGCACAGTGGATCTTAAATACTCGTCAGAATCTGAAGTCACTGTGCTGTATTTGAGGCTCTGCCTTTACTCGTACCGTTTCCTATGCCTTAAGTGGGTTTTCCAAAAAAATTTCCAAGCTCTGTTCAGAGGATACTCCTCCACAACCCTACTAACTAGATAGGAACTCTATGGTTTGTAATCTATAGCCCTTGTTAAATTCCTACCTGTCATCACCAGTCTTTATATCTAAATGTCATTTCCAGTTGATCAGGTTCTTAGAGATAGGGTTCCATTGCCTACCATGATACTTTGCATACAGAGAGCTATTGCTAAATAGCCACCATTCTTAAGTACCTACTATAATTGTTCTACAATTTTGCAAAGTAAGTATTATTGTCCCTGTTTTAAATTGTGAAGAAACTCAGTATCAAAGAGATTTGCCCAACACCATATAGTTAGTAAGTGGCAGAACCTGTTTTTCTGATTTAAAAGCTCTTGCTCTTTCTTCTATGTCATACTACTGTGGTACTAAAAATAAATAGTTAAATAAAATTATTTAATAGACGTATTTATGGTAAAAACACGCTACTGAAATTGTGTTACTTACATCGTCAGTATGCAGCTTAGAGTCTTTGTTTCAATGACCAAGCCACTTGATGTGGACTAACTGATGTACTCCTACTTTATTTGGGTTTTCCTTCTAAGTTTTTATTTATTCTAATGAGTAAGGTTTGAATGGTCTAATTTTGACTATTTTAAGTGCAATTTGTTTGGTTTCTGTCCTATGTTCAAGTAGAATTTTTTACATTTGACAAAAACCTTTAAAGTAAGGCAACTGATAAGGTAAAAATAGTTTAGTTCTTTTTCTCCTACTGAGTTATAAAATACTTAAGGGGGAGCATATAAAGTGAGGCAACCTTAAATATACAGCTTGGTGAATAAATATATATATATATATATATATATATATATATATATATATATATATATATATATCTGTGTAAGCACTAGACCTATGCATATGTTGGAGAGAGTGGCCTCTGGTATCTCTATCTTTTTATAAGGACACCAATCCTATTGGATTAGGGCTCTACCCTTAACCTCATTTAGCCTTAATTACCTCCCTAACGGACTTATCTTCAAATAGTCACACTGGAGGTTAGGGCTTCAACATATGAATTTTGAGAGACCTAATTCAATCCATAACAATGGGTCTTGGGACTGAAGTATTGGGACTGAATACAAGCTACTTTAGTAGCTACTCTCATTATGCCATATTTTTTTAAGCATACTGTTAACATTTATAATTCAACTAGTTTAGCTCCCACCGGAGATTTTGAGAGCTTGTATCAAGTAGAGCTATTATGCTAATTCTGTCTGCACTTCTGTGAAGCATGAAGTCAGTGTCATACATTTTAAGGGTAAGATCTTGTCGCATTCAAAGAGACGCTTAAAATTGCAATCTAGAAAATTGCTTTTAAACAGCTGGGGAAAGACGTTAATATTCTCAGAGGACACAATTTAGGAAATCATTCACTGTGAGGTTTTAAAAATCTACATTATATAGAAAAAGTGTTGATTTTTATGACACCTTTCAGGGGATATTAATATAATACAATCAGACCTATACGTAATCTTTAGATATTATAAGTTAAAAAATTTCCAGTATATTTTAGGGTTTATGTTGTTGTTGTGATTTACCTATTTGTGTTCATTTTAGTTTTCCCTCACAATGTTGGAGAAGTATATTCTAACTTTAAAGCATGAACATATTATTCAGATTCCTAAAAATTAAAAGTAGATAGTATCTCTATGTTTTGTTTTGTTTTTTTCCTGTTAGGCTGACAACTCAAAATATTTAATTAATTCAGTAATTACCTCGCTGAATTGCCCTATCCCCTCAAAATAGGAAAAAAGGGGAGGAAGAGACTTGGTTGGTTCACAAGGTTGAGATATTTTGGAGGGGATTGATCAGAGGTTGTATATATTGAGAATATGTTTATTCCATGATTCCTCTCTTAGGAGTTCTCAGCTATTTCGAGGCCAGCATCCCTATTTCTATAATTATTTTAATGGGTGGAGGTGGTGCAGTAGTCTTTTCCATCTCGTGCCTGGCTATTTTGTCAGGAACAGCTAATGTAGAGCTAATTGCAGCAAAGGAGGCAGCATCTGACCTCCCTATTCAGAGCACAGACAAATGAATAGCAAACACTTCCTTCTGAACTGACCCTTCCTGGTCCCCATTTGTAAGGGGGCATTTTATCTTAGCCACCTAGGAGTGGAGACTGGAGGATTTGCTCTATTTGGGAGTGGGGCAAATATTTCTGCCTACTTCCTCCATATACAAGTTGTGTCCCATACCCCCTCCTTACTAATTTAACTTCCTAGGTAGAGCTAGGGAGGGGAAATGTCCTGATCACCAAAGTTGAGTGTCATGTCTTGGCAATTATAATCCTTATTAAAAAGTCCCATTGTGATATAGAAATCAGTTATGTGTTTGCTCATAGCAAGTTTGTATCAGTGCTAGGTTTTCTGACCTTGTAGAGGTATTGGATATCTCTGAATGATGCCCTTACCGTGCTACTATGTAATAGGAACAACTGAGAAACTATGAGATCTAACCATGATGAAGGGCTGGCAGCTTTAAGCCCACAATCCAGGTGATCAGGTCAAATGCTGGTTGTTTTACTTCTTAATGTCTGCTATAGGGAAAGGTTTTATTCTTTCTCAGCCAAAATTTTCTTATTTGTACAAAGGGGATAAAACCTTCTATATTCAGGTTATTGTGACAATAAAATAATATAAAGCAAGTGCTATAGATAAAATATTCATAAGTCAAGCTAAACTCTTTTTCTCAGTTAAAACTGATGAAAAACAATGAGATATTCCAAGAAACCGGAGATTTAATGCTAAGAGGACACTATAAGGGAGGACGGAAGTGAAGTCCCTTAAAGTATAATATCCTGAAAAGAGTACTTTGGGGTAGTCCTTGGGATCTTGCTTATCTCTAAGGGAAGGTTTGTCTTTACCATCTCAACCTAGGAATCTCCCTTGAGCTTCAGTATCATGATTTTTAAAATGAAGATAATAATTGCTTTGAGGACCTTGATAAGGACCCTTTGATAGAGTAGTGGAGATAAGAGCTAAGGAAATGTGTTGAAAAGTGACTAGGTGAGGAAATGAAGATTATCTAAATTTTCTATTCTTTTCAGAAGTTAGGCTGGGATATAGTGGGAGAAGCAGAGGTCAATAAAGGCTTTGTTAATTAAAGATTGGGAAATACTAGAGCATGGTGTGTTGGGGAGAAGTACCTCTAGTATAAATGGAGAGGGTGGTAATATAGGGGAAACTGTTATCAGAGATATAAATACAAGTGTTGGGAGTGATGAAATCCTATAGAACTAAATACACACACACACACACACACACACACACACACACACACACACACACATTTAATGAGATTGGGGTAATCTCAAAAGACCAGTGGGTTGCATTAATATAAATGTACTGATTGTGATACTGTACCTCAGTTTTGTGAAATGTTACCATTGGGAGAAACTGAGTAAAAGATACTCAAGATCTCTCTTAAAACCCCATGTGAATCTGCAATTTTCTTAATGAAATTCAATTTAAAAATGAATGTGAAACTATTATATAAAACTAAATTTTTATTTTTAAATTTATTTTAATTTTAGGTTGTTCCTGCCCGATTGATATCATAGTCCTCGTTGGCTTTTGTAAGTTGATATTTTAATTTTTTCTATGCTCCACCCTGATATTTGCATTTTCTAATTACATGAGAGTACTTCTCTAGAGAACCTGGAGCAAAACTTATTACCAGAAAATAAACAACAGGATCTTAAGGAAGCAGAATATGTTTTCAATACCTAGATGTAAGAAAAATCTGCTAGAGCTCAATGTCAGCAGAATTTTGTCAGTCGTAGGCTTGCCCAGATAACTCAATAAGGAAGTTATTGAGAATGCCTGATTTAGAACTTTCATTAGATTATATGTGACTTAAAGGAAATTCAAATCTTACCTATATATTTCTGTATATTTCATTTTATTTTTCGTTTTTGTTTGATTACAAGTTCTTTGGTAGAAAAAAAGTGAATCGGTCTTGATACTTTTAGTAAATGGTTCCTAATGCCATTTTGTTATTGAGGATTTGGAGTGTTCTTTCAAAATAAATTAGGGAGCAGATAGCATGGTGGAGAGCACAAGTTTTAGACTCATGCACAGCCTGGCTTGACTTCTGGCTGTGATACAGGTAAGTACATGACTGTGAACAAGTTAGTGAGCCTTTCTTAGCCATGGTTTGTCATTTATTAAATTGAAATAATAACAGCTGTGATATTTATGAGGCTTAACTGAGGTGATATACCTGGCTATTAGCAGCATTCAGTAACTATCTTTTAAATAATTCTATATTTCTCAGTACTATAAGCTTGAGACACTAGTAATAAATAATTTTACAATATGCTTTATAGAGGACTATCTTTTATTACTTATATCCTTATATGTAGTAAATGTTGAAAAATTATATATTTTTATAGTAGAGAAAATGATTAGGAGACATGGGCTGATCTGTAATGGACTCAGCAAATCACTTTTTGAGTTTCTACTCATAAGAGCAGCTTTTTTAATGAGATATATAATTTGTGAGATGTAGTGTTTTTCATAATACCTTGTAAAGGGATTCTTGATATTTCTCTCTCCATTTTGGGAGAATAGGAAGACAGAGAGGCCCAAAATGAACCAGTGCCACAGTCAGCTTTGAGATTCCTACGATGATTGTTCCACTGCGCTTACTAAACTACATTTTCAGTGCAGTTTCGAGCTCTGCATTTCCTAAGTTCATTGCGGGCTGTTCAGCACCCTGTACAAAATGGCATTATTGAGTCAAATGAGTAATCATTGATTGGATCCCCCAGATCAGCACTGAAGCTCAAAAGATGGGCACCTAGAAAGATTATGTTCTGTGTCAAGGAATGCGTTCTCCACCCTTCTCATTCCAATATTGTTTATTTTCTTTTGAGGTTAGGAATTTTGAAACTTAACTCATCTATTCCCAGGTCCACTGAGGATTAGTGACAGGAATAGAGCAGAGCTCAGTAAAATGAACACATTCTGTTGCAGATTTCCATGAAAGCCGTGTCAAAGAAGCAGTTCAGAATTCAGTGGAGACCTTGGAAACTTTTAAATAATATCTGCTCAGTGTAGGTAACCAGTCAGGCCAACCCGGGTTCTTTCCTGGGCCCTCCTCACTCCCTCAAACACACACACAGCTCATTCACACACAGACTGCCATTTAGGAGCCTGGATTACCAGTTTGGATGATTACCCAGCTCGAATAGAAAAGCGAACTGTTCTGCCGCCGCTCGTGGTTTTGTTTGGCAAACAGAATTTACGCAAACTGACTCTTTCTTTAGGTCTAGCGGCCTTTGCGGGAAGCCCTAGGAATAACAGCTCTAAATTCATCCTATGTCGTAGCTTACTGGGTGCCAGCCAATACGGAGGGCTGCACTATAGCCACCCTCCCAATCATCAGTAGAGCTATTGGATGGAGAATACAGTGTCCCTGTCGTTTGGGTAAGGGGACTCGAAAGGAATTGGAGATGAAGTGAGCCCATCCCTTGGAGGACTGCAGGATGGAAGAAGAAAGGGAGAGAGAGCAGGCGGCGTGTATTGATGGAATGTCAGGGGCCCCTTGAGGCCCAGCAGGCCCTGGTAGCGGAGGACTTCCCTGGGTGCCCCGTTTTCTCCCTCTGACCTTGGATGAACTAGCGCGCAGTATATTATGCCCGGCGATTGTGCTGGTTTGTCATGGTTAGCATTCTGGACTGTCCCTGGAATGTAGGAAATGGATGAGTTTGAACTGAACCATGAGGTGGTCTCCGGGCCTAACCCTTGTCTCAAGGAAACCTGTCGCTGTTTGTCTGGGCCCGGGCTAATGAAAGCCGTGGAGGGAGAGAGAGGTGGGCCTTTGATCTCTTTGTTGCCCCTGCTCCCTGGGAACTCGCTGAAATCAATGCCCTGTTTTCCTGAAGGAATGAATGGCTCTGCCTAACTAGCTTTGTGAGGCCCCGGGGAATTCACTGCCTCTGTGTATTGACAGCTGAAAAGGAGGACACAGGGTGGAAGGGACCTTCTTGTGAAAACCAGGCACAAGAAAAATTAGACCTCCATTTAACACAGAGGAATCTGGAAACTCACCCCCAAAAAGACCGTGGTTTCTCATGCTTACATTAGAATTAACTCAAGTTTGGGGCTAGTGTGTAATGAACAGTGGGGGTTCTGTCACAACTATGTTATAAGTAGGATTATGGCATGCATAATAAATGGTGTTAAGTAGGAGTTGATCCAACACCCTTGTTCTTTTTTTAAACACAGAAGTAGAGAAAGACAAATATTAGCCATGATCCAATCAGGTGATTCTTTTATTTTTTGCCTGAAGAAAAAAAAAAGGGGGGGGGATATTTAAAAGTCATTATTGATATATAATAGTAAAACTAAGTCGGACTTCCCATCTAACTTTCACGACTGCCTGCTACTCAGGCCATCCTGGATTCCATGTGTTGCATGGGAATATTACGAGAAACCATTTTTTTTTTAAAAAAAAAAACAACTTATATCCCTGGGACATTTTAACTGAAAGTCTGTGTCAAACATAAATGAGCCAACAGATAGCACTTGCGAGTGGAACAGTTCATAAATCCTAAAGTAAGTGCCGTATTTTGAGAACAGAGTAAGGAAAAGGTCTTGAGTCTGTCGCAAGGAAACAACACCAGACCTTCCTTTGACACCTCCCCACTTGCTTGATTTCCCAGGAAGAATTTATGGCTTCTTCCCTTGACCTCCAGCCTTTGTGCACACTTCTAGTATAGCACTGAACACCTTGCCCGGTAGATCTTTGTTTGGGTCCTTCTTTTAGCTGGCGGTACAGCCACTGTATAGAATTCATTTTTCTATCTCCCAGCCTCGCAGGCCTCCTGGGTTCGTGAGTGCCTGCTGATGAGTGGAGATTGATAGCTCCCTGTTCCTGTTCCTCCATTAACTTGGAATGTAATTGCTTATCCGGGCTTCAACCGCAAACGCTATATTTTAAGAAAACCTGATTGATCTATTGTTACCTGATTGGCACTATAGCCTTTTAAAACCTTTCCTTCAGGGAGAATTATTAAACGGTTGCTTTGATTTGGCAACTTTTGCTGGGCAGTCCAACAGCCTCTGCACAGAAAGCATAAACAGTGCGTGGCATGGGCCTTTTCAAAGCCAAGGTCTCTTCTCTGATATTCTTTCCTAAAAATAAATCTCAAAACAGCGTCTAGACATTTTCAGTAAGAAGATGAAAAAGCTTTTAATTTAGAGTTGTGTAGACTTTCCCTTAACCAGATTTAGTGATTGAGATGGATAAAGCTTCCATTTTACATGATTTAATTCTGTGGTGTAATTTGAAATAATGCAAAAACAAATCACTTTTTGACCATATCTTTAACCAGATTTCCCACACACTGTGTATTTATGAACCCCCTATCAAAGCAAGCAAACATCTCCATCTCCCAGGGAAAGTGTAAAGGAAATTTTTATTCAAAGGATCATCTGCTATGATTTTACAGGACCCAGAACAAGCCCAGTTTCTGAGCTCTTCAATTAAAACCTATTTCTTTTTAAGTGGGAAATGGTTGACGACGTACTTGGGGGAAAATAGCATCTTAAAATTATAACGGAAAATCGTAGAGAATGATTGGGGTGGGGCGGGAGGATAGGTAAGTACACACACAGTACAGGAACTTGCTAATATTTTACTCACCCATGCTGTTTTTGTTTTATTTTTACCACCACGATTATTTTTAAAGAAATCGGTGTGGTTTTTTGTTTTGACTAAAGGTAGGGATGAAAGTTAAAATACAGGTTTTCAAATTTGGGAGTGGTGGTAGTAACTCGGTAGAGGAATAGCTCATACAAAAGTGGTGGACTCAGCAGTTTTGTGATTCTGCTGAGATTTTAGGTTTCTTACAAAATGGGAAAATTACCATGGCCTTGATCCTCGATAGACTCTTGCTCCCATAAGTATTAACTTGTAGATAAGAAAGCAGTAAGCACAGCGCTGAGGTTTAATAACTTGGCCGCTCAAGCCTCCCAGTTTCTGGAAGTAATTTTGTGTGACATGATACTAAGGAGGCCGGGGGGAGGGTGGAAGGAAAAGTAGGAAATCAAGCCACACTTTTCCACGGGGTGTTTCAGCTTTTGGAAGTGAGGCGTATCTTTGTCTGCGTTGATAGAAAGAACTGCTCACAGGCCAAGGCGGTGACTGCAGTTACAAATGGCGTTCTTGCTGTGCTTGTAGAATCAGACAGCTTCCACCACACGGTCCTCCATCACAGAGACTTTTCTTCCCTCAGGACGGAACACGACTGTAATATCCACGTAGTAATAATTCAAGAGTCAGGCCCGCAATGTAGGCTTGGGGACCCACATATGTTAGGTGTCTGCATTTGTGTGTACGTTTATTTCCATAAAAGAAAGGTATCGGATGCTTCCCATCCATCCATCCTGACTAGTCATTGGGAGGGAGACCTCTCCTTCGTGATTAGATGGAACTGCAAGAAGTGTAGTCTGAAATATAGAATTATTAAAAATACCTTCACTGGGTATGCTCGCTGTCAGCAAGTTCTGCCCCCCAGCTTCTCCTTGTAATAGTAGCCTTGTCTTTGAAAAACAAAGTTGGAATTAAGCAAAGGTGTGTGTTTTCTGTTGTTTGTTTTGGAGTTTTTGTTTGTTTTGCCTCTTAGTGGCCTTGCTGCCAGAGTAGTCCTCCCCTCATTGTCACCCTACGCCCCTCAGGTACTCATTGCCTTTCCCAAAGGGTCTTGTTCTCCTTTGACACTTTTTTTTTTTTTAAAGATCTATCACCTGATATCTGCTCAAGGTGTTTTCCCTTGAATCAGGGTCTCTGGGAAATAACGGCAAATGCACAAGGGCTCCTGCTTACCACTCGGTGTGAAGCACTTGACTCAGATGAATTTATTTAATCCTCAAAAGGCTCTTGTGCCATAGGTATGGTTATTTCCATTTTATAGGCAAGAAGTAGGACAGGGGGAGACTAAATAGATTGCACTAAGATTCTAAGTGGCCCCTGGATTTGAATCGAGGCATTCTGGCGCCACAGCTCCTGCTCGCAACCACATCTCTAAACTAAAATTAAAAACCCATTAAGAACTTAAAGGTGCGCCTCTGGAATGTTGGAATTGGCTGCTATGGCATGTTGACGGAGAGAAATTTTCGATTCTGGCATCCCTGAACTCATATTCCATATATAAATGTCTACCGACACAGTAGCAGTGTGGTTTTTTTTCCATGCTTTTATTTTTTTTAACCTTTTGATTTCCCCTCCTCTAGGTTGCTCTACCTTTGATGTGGCCTCTGTTTCACATCTAAAACTCCTCCGAACATCAAACTTAGCAAGGTTAGTATGCCTCTGCCAGGCCCTCTGACTGCTGCCCAGTCTGCTCGCCCATGGTCAGTGGTGAGTCTGCATCCCCTTCTCTCCGCATTGGAGTGGACACCACTGCCATGTATAAGGGCTTTTATACAACTGGCTTTTCTTTGTCATGACTCACTTACTGGAAACTCTGTGACCCTGCTCTCTTACATTTTAGAAAGGTGTCTTAGCATTGTTTTATCTCACAAAACAAACAAATCCCAGGACACACGTGAGGATGTTATCCTGCATGTAGAATCACATTTAGTATGTTGCATACGTTACAATTCAGAGTTTCTAAATCATGCTCCTAAGATTGTAACATGGGGTGATTCTCAGTTTGCATATATTCTGTCCAAATTTCCTAAAGTTGTGAAATACGCGTTAGGAAATAAGTGCCCCTACATCCAGTGTTTATTTGAGGGAATTTGTGGTTGGCAGGAGTTGGGAGTTTTATCTCTTATCATTCTCCATACATCTGGAGATTATGATTTGTGTTAAACACTTATTTCATAATAGCAATCCCTGCCCGAAATGTCCTAGTCAGCAGTTTGCTTGTCTTTCCCACGTCGCCTGCGTTTCGTTCTCTGTTTAAGCCCGTTGCCTTCTTCACCCTGAAGCAGCCTCCCTCTGTTTTGCAGCTTTAGTGCTAACAGCATTGCTTAACCATAACGCTTGGCCTCTCTCCAAACATCTTTTTTTTTTTTTTTACAAAATGTCCTTGACTGTAATATGCCATAATTTCATTTTTGTTCCAGTGTTCTTTTCTTATATTTCATCTTCCACTTGATTTTTTTTTTCCCCCCTAAGCCTCTCACTAGATAAACTGCTTCCAAATTTATTTTCCTCTTGGGGCTGACTTCTAGAAAAGCTATCTGCAGCTGCTCCAGTTAGAAGGCCAAAGCGAGGAGCCTATTAGATGGGTGTGTTTAAATCCCTGCTCTCCAGATAATTCCAGTTGAAACTAGTCCACTTCCCCACTAGCACATGCAAACGGAAAATTCTAGCAATGTCCAAAATGCCAGAATCACTTCTCTATGTCCTTTGGGTAACTTTATAATACCGGTAAGACTAATTCATGCCAGCCCACTTTTTAATTGGCTGCTTAATTATTTAGAAATCTTTCAAATATATGACATGTAAAACTTAATGCATCCAGGAAACTAGACATTTCTTTTGTAAGTACATGTTAGGAAATGGAATGAATTGTATTGTGATTATCCAAATTAAAGATTATTGAAGTGAATCAAGAACTATTCCTTCTGGGATAGTATACTCTGAAACAGGTTATCATGTTTTTTCCTAATTGTGAACTTCTCCCAGTTTGTAAAATTGTTCTTGATACTTATTAACAGACCCGTCTACTTTGTACGTATACTCTAGACTCGGTCCCAGCCTTTGGGCCTCTGTGTGTACATGTGGACACACGTACTGTATAATCTTTTAACAGCTCTGCACGGAGGGCCGATGTCACCGTGCAGAGAAGTTTGGGGCCATGCCTGGGGTTTTACACTTGGCCAGCAGTGGAGCCAGTGCTCGATCAGCCATCTTCCTTAGATTGCTCAGGTGCTTTTTTCCTTTTTCTTTTTGCTTTTATCTGTGTTTCCCCCCCAAGGAAATGACCATTTCACTGATTTTAAGGAATATAATGGGTAAATCCAGGAGCATAGTGTGCATGTCCCCTGTCTGAGGTCTCTTTCCCCAACACAAGCCTGAGCACATTGCTCTCCTGATGAAAACCTTCCCGGGATTCTGATTGTGCAGGCCTCTTGGTTGCAATTGACAGAAACTCATGGGACCCTTCAGGAGTCCCAAAGAGCCGAGGACAGGAACGAGCTTTCATGTAGAAGGATCACTCTGGTAGTAGATTGTGATGAAGATTAGGACAAAGGGAAACAATCTCTGAACAGTGGCTTCCCTGTCATGAGTCCTCTCCAGTTTTCAGTGGGGCCCTTGTGAGCCTCATCCGAAGGGCTCAGACACTCAGCCATAAGCTAAAGGGGCTTTGATTGAGAGCATGCCTGACCTCAAAGTCTGGACCCTCTTAGACATTACATTTGGTGCCACGAGCACCTACAGTTACTGCCATGTCTGTGGATCAACAAATGTGTCACATTAAGGACTTCTCTCTTATCTCTTGGGGCGAGAAATCACCTCTCCCCAAAGCTCCCTCGTTTCCAGCACACTGTCATTTCCACCTTCTGAAAGCCCACGGCCCCAGTCCCCTTCCCAGCACGCGGGGCTGGGAACACAAGCAAGCTTGGGGAGCTGGCAGTCTCGTGCCTCAGCATGGAACTCTGGCCTCTCCTCTACCTGGGGGACTCCCCAGTGGTTATTATTATTTTTCTTGGTTTTTAAGCAATTTGGAGTTTAAGATAAAGGCCGTAATGATAACTTTCTTTGCCTCTCCCTTCATAGGTTTTTGCATAGGAGTCAGAGGAGTTAATCCTGTGAGTAGCATCTGAACATCTGCTTCTTTCCTTCCTTCTCTATCTGCCCCCTGGGGTTTCTAAATCGCTGGCCGGTCCAGGCTCCTCTCTGCAGCGGGGCGGAGGCCTTCTTTGCAAAGAAGTCTGGCTCTGGTTATGGGCAGCGAGTCCAGAGCACAGATGTGCACTAGCCTAAGTCTTAGCACCTGGTTGAGGCACCAGGGAGTCTCTGAGTCTGGCTCCCCAACTTCAAGTATGCAGGAAGTGTCCCCTCCTCTATTTCCCATAACGACTTTCATTCGGACTCCAGCCCCCACCTGGCCAACCTCTAGGGAAATGTCATGGCAGTCACTTTCCCTTCCCTCCTGGGGAGTGACCTAGAACCTGGAGCTTTCCCCAGACCTGGGAGGCGAGGGACTTGCCTCTGGCCTTTGGCATATCGCAGCCCTGGTCTCGGGAAGCCTCAGGGACACCAGCAGAGGCTGGAAATGCCTTCACAAGTCTCCTTTTCCTCCCCAGGCTCAGGGGCAGGAGGGAGGAGGGAAAAGTGTCGTTTTCTTACCTCCTTTCCCATCCTCACCTTCTCCCATCCTAGAAATGGGGCAGAATATTCCTCATTGGGTTTAGATGTGAAAGACAGGCTGCTTCTGCCATCATCCGGGCTAAAATACAAAGATGTATAAGGCCTGTTACCTGTTTAGAGGTAGAAATGAGCTAGAAAGGGAAACTGTTGGCCGGACAAGGTCAAGTTCCAGAGTTGTCCCGCCGTGCCGGTGTGGAGGCCGATGGGAAGGTAAAACATCACCCACCTAGTGGCAGTCCTGGACATGAAGAGAAGGAAACAGATTGAGAGACTAGACGCTCGCAGATCTTAGAGCTCAGCTTAGCCAGAGAGAAAACCCAGAGTGACTCCAGATGTTGACTCTGGAGAGGCTGGGAAGTGACACGGTGAAGAGACTGACTTATTAGTAGCATGGACGCTCACATCATACCCTTTGCGTGTGGATCCCACCTTAGCTGCTGGCTGGGCAACTTAATAACAACTTCTAAGCTTCGGTTTTCCCAAAAGTAAAATGGAGCTAATTCCTCCTACTCATAGAGTTGTTGAGGGCATTTAGTAAAGTGGCCCTCCCCGTGTGAGCACCCAGTACATGTTAGCTGTCATTGCATAGTTGGCGCCTGTGGCTGAAATCTGTAATTTTGGAAGAGGAGCTGCGAGTCTAGAGTCAGCTGCGCGGAGCCCTTGCTCTAGGACAGGTGACCTTCCCGGCGCACTGCCAGACTTCGAGGTGAGAGGTAGGTAGATGGGTTTGTCTGGAATTGGAGAGTTTAGAATTAAAGGTAGATAATTTGGGAGGCCTGTGATCCCAAGGAGTAGTTGAAGCTTTGGGTTAGGAACAAGGTTCCCCAGGGGCTGTGAGGAAAGGTAGAGAGCAGGTCTGTTCAGATTCCTGGTGACCCTTTGCAACATGTTCCTGTGTGTGGTGCAGATGTGAATGTTCCACTGAGGGTCTTCCCTTCAGAGACACAGCCTTGTGGTCCACTGTGGTCCACCTCGCTGAGAGAAGGCTTTGTTGTCCGCAGTCTCCCCTATAGGGCCGCTTCTTTCCATTAGGAATGATGGGCTTTAGGAAGTAAAATAAAATACTTAGTTGAGAAGCTTTTCAGAAACAAGCCTTGTCCGTTGTCTGCCTAGATTAGTGTTTCATGGGAAACCAAGGCAGAATCCCCACTGTTTGGGGCTTGCTCAGTGCTTTCCCACTCAAATCATTAGAAATAATAATAATAATGAAAAAAGTCAATCTGAAGAATTTCCTTAAGCAAACTCAGGAGTAGCTAGAAGTGAATGAGCTGAAACTGGAGGGAAATCCCTTTGTTCAATTCGGGTTTCAGTGAAGGCTCAGCAGGTGGTTAAACCAGTTCATTAACAGAAAAAGACATGTTTTTAAGCTGCCCTCAGCAGCAAATGCCTAGAAAAACATATTGGGACAACAGAAAAGGACATTCCAGAAGTCATAGGCTCTAGATTCATGAAACTGTAGTTTTTATTATTAATGGAGAAACAGATCATTTACCCCCAAATATTTCCCCGTTTATTTAAAACCATTAACCAGAACTAATCTGGCTGCCGCATGCCAGTCCTATTCCTAGAAAAAATGTGATTTTTCTTGCCCCTCAGGAGCTCAGAAACATTTGTATTTAGGAATGTTGTATGTTAGAGGGTCATTTTTTTCCATGACCATTTTTTAATATACTCGACACATTAAATCTTTTTCCCCTGATTGTGTAATCTAAATTCAAACCTGCATCCCGTCAGCCTTAGGTGTGCTTTTTTTCCAAACTGTCTCTCTTCTGTGTTCAGTTGTCCTCCATCACCCAGGATCCCCCGCTATCAGGTTCTCCGGGCATTGTTAACTATCTAAGCCTTAGGTGGGGGCTGAGATGGCCCGTGGGAGAGGCCAGGGACTTGGTCTCCTCCCAGCCAGGGTTCTCTGCCTCCACTAGTGCTGCTCCCATTGAACAGTTCAAGACTAAGCTCCCGTGTGAGCCCTCGGAGGCTGTGGAGCATTGTTGAATTCAGAAAGGCATCGCTTTCTCGTAGTGATCATTTGAATATTTTGACAATGAGGCTGAGCTACTCCGCTGCCTGGTTTGCGTACCCCGTGTCATGTGCCCCCTTCCGAAGGGAAGCAGAAGCTCGCCTCGCCTCCCTGAACTCATAAAGCAGCATTGTCTGTGGGGAGGCCGGTGGGAGCAAAGGGAGAATCATCCAGAAGAATTTCACTCTCTCCTGTTTTCTAAAGCCCTTAAAAAAAAAAAGTAATCTAGGCCTTTGGAGACCATGATACATGTTGAGTACTTTCAGAGGAGAGACGGACCATGAAGATGATTTGTGAAGTGTTTAGACATGCAAAGTGAGGAATACACTTAAAACAAATTCTCTGGATGATTCAGACAACCTGCTCACTCCCCCTTTTTTTCCCCCTGACTTGTGAAAGGTTATTTGAAAGATTTAGTTGTCTAAAATGGCCTGCATTTTTCTGATTTTAACTAAAAGGGATGTTTTTATGCTAAATAAACAGACAGCCTTTTTTGATTAAATTAAGAAAAGGGGCAACCAAGTGAAAAAAAAAAATCAGTTAGGTGAGCTCTATTTGGCTTTGTTTCCTTATATATTTACCTTTGTACTGGGCAAGGAAATCCTGAAAAGCTTTTCACCTAAGAGGATCAACGGGATCGGATAGTCTTAGTTGGAAGAAGCCAAGCTTTATAATTAATTGGTGAACAGAGATACCGGTTTTCAAATGCTCATCAGGGATCAGTAGTACAAAGCTGGCTGCAGTCTGGGCCCTGGGGGCATGGTAAAAACACAAACCCCAGGGCCCAGGTGACACTGTGCCAGCCTGTGCCAAAGACTTCCCAGGCATTCTAGCCCATGGCCAGGTTTGGTGACCACCGAATTGTCTATTCAGTGAGGAGCCTTCAACCCATTTGATAAATGTAGATGTTTATATAGAGCTTTTGTTAGAAATGAACCCCTAGTAGCTATTACTGACTTTTCCAGTTCATCATTTGTTTCAGGTTTTGTTATTGCATAGATTTGCATGCCTGTTTTATGGTATTCTAATACTGTTGATTTAAAAAAAAAATACCATTTCCTCCGAGTGCTGTTTTGAATATTTTTATGTAAGCAATTGCATGGGTTGTTTTTTGTTTTTTCATTTTTTCCTTCTACTTGCAGAAAGCAGGGGAAGATTTCAGGGTTTTTCTAATCCAGTTGTAAGTAGGACAAAGAATATAATGGAAATACTTAAAGGTCTTCTTGGGCAAGATTATATGAAATACTGAAAGTCTGCTAACTTGCAACATTGTGAACTTTATGACACTGTTTAAATATAGCAGATGACCCACATGTTTTAAGGCTTTTGCCATGTGGTATTTCTGAGATATTTCAAAGTCAAGGGTGGTAGATCAATTGAGGCATTGAGGGTTTTAAAATTTAAAATCAACTGATCCTTTGTTAAAATGCATGGAAAATGTTAAAAAAAAAAAAAAAAAAGCAGTAGAACATGTCCTCTGCACGTCATCGGTTGAGTGTGTGGGCTCTCAAAGGGAGGCTCCTGTGGCCGGGATGGGCGATGTTTTCCCAGCTTCATTCACTGACACCTTCCTTCGAGATCTCTCCTCACAGGCGTGACTCCTCCCACCCTCTGAGAGGCCTTCCCCACCGCCTGAACACCGACACCAGCAGGTATGCGAGTGACCTTCGCTTTTACACGTCTTTTCTGTGCTGGCATGTCTATTAATAACTGCTTGGAAACACATGGTAAAATTAGTCAAGGAATGCGGGAGGTTCAAGTGGTTCTAGTAGAGAGGATAAAACGATATTTCCCTCTCAAATCGCAAAAGTAATCTTAGGACAGAATTCTTGACCTTTTTTTGTTTGTTTAAAGCATTGGTACACTCTGCATTTCAGGGAATCAGAGGATGCAATTAGCAACTTTTCACACCCATACCCTCTATTGTTCCCCCCCCCCCCCCCCACACACATACACATTCCCCACAGCACTGCAGATCCATGGCATTTCTGCTGATAACCCTGTCAGTTCCAAAGCTTGAGACTGCCCTGTCTACACCCTAACTTGTGCCCATAAGGGGATGTGTGAAGGTTGCCCTCCCCTTGGCGGAAGATGTTGACTGATAAGCCGGGGGAGACGCTGGTCACATGCCAGTAGGGCTAGGACTCCAGCTTCAGGGGCAGGCCCTGTTGAGAATCAGGATAATAAATGTTGCTTCTGGAGTCCATGGCACTGGCACACCGCATGGCGAGGGGCACGTGGTGCAAGTGGATGGGGTCGGCGTAGCTCAGAATACCCGTGTTTGGCCTCTGGTCGCCATCGTGATCACCGGGGATGATGCTCGTAGGAGCTAGCACTCCCTGTGCATGGGACCACGTTACTTAGGACAGTTCATTACCTGCAGAATCGTCATCTCCAGTGCCTGTGGGTAAAGAACTTCCGTCTCTGAACCTCCGTCTCCTCATCTGTCAGATGGCGATGCTAGGGCCTTTCTGCCCCTCTCCCAGGGCTGGCAGTTGGGGATTGTTAGACAAAGTAGCATGGTAGGGCTTTATGAGTTCAATGGAATTATTGTCTTACTAAATACTATTTAGGTTCCCTTTGAAAGATGATGTTCTTACTAAATAATATTTTGATTTATTGGCCAAGAAGTTGAAATCCATTCCAACCTATCGACTAGCAGCCAAGAAAGGCACTAGCCGGTTTAATGAGGCAGGGGCAAGGAATCTTGCTTGTGTATCTTCTCTTCCCATGGAATGGATATTAGAAGACGAGGCGTGAGAACCAGTAGGGTCCCGGGATGTGTCTGCCCAGTAGCTGGAGGTAGGTCTGTGGGCTGAGGACAGGTAAGGGGCGCTGACACCGTGGACAGGAGACACCGGCGCACAGTGGGACAGGCCCAGACAGGACGGACCGTGCAGTTGCTAGAGGAGCAGGAGAGGAAGCCCAATGTGAGACATCTCTATAGGCTCCTGGGAAGCAGCAGCAGGCATGCGGCCACGGGAAGTTGGGGCTTATTGTGAGCTGGGTGCCCGGCCTCCAGGGGACTGGAGCACAGAAGCCGCCTGCTAGGGGCTGTGAGACGGACCACACATGTGGATTGGGAGACAGCTACTTAGGGAGTGTGCATTCCTCCCATTGAGCCGGGTGTAATTGTAATGGTTTGTTAAACAAACAAAGGGCCCAGAGCAGCGAATGGGGGAGAGAAAAGGCTTGAGGTGAAAAAGGAGAGGAGGCCCGCTTGCAAGGGTCCCGCATTGGAAGCTTTCTCCCCCATTTCCTGGGCATCCCTCTCCCCCAGCAGCAGGGACTTGGAAAAGCAGCCTCGTCCCTTGAGTGTCATTTCCTTTAAAGATGGAAACCTGGTGAAATGTTTACCGTCTTCAAAGGAAAAAAAATGAAAAACGGGGGTCATCCTAAAGGATAAATATTTGCATTTGTATCCTAAATGTAAACCTTTTCATATTTCGAATTAAGTATTTCTGGATGAACAGTTTGCTTTGCATCATTTGAAGTGACGGACGTGACAGGGGAAGGCAACGAGGGAAGTCTCAGTGCAGCTTTGTGTCTCAGGAGCACAGCCAGCCTGTGGGCTTCGGCTCCTTTCCTTTCTCGCTGTGTACACAGTTGATAGGCATGTGAGCTCTGGATGCTCATCCATTGAAAAAGCTTAGTGTTAAGCTGTCATTTAAAATTGCCAATTACATTTGTGTCCATTTGGGTAATCAGATTTGGTCTCCGGCTCATCTTGTCAAAAAAAAAAAGACCATTTAGATTTGAGAAAGTTCTTTTCACTGGGGTGAGGAGGCCGATGGTGGGGGAGGAGCTGTTTTCTCTGTAAAGCAATCTGTTGATGAACCATCTTCACTTTCCCTGCTCCCAGTTCCCAATAGAATAACCACAGGTTCCTCTCCCGATGTGTGGGACCCCTTGTGCTCGGGCACAGCCCCTTCTCCAGCCCACTTTCCCCCACTCCCTTACACTCACACCCGCTCTCCAGCAGGCCTGAACCCCGAGATCTCTGATGCCCTGGGCTGCTTTGTGTCTCTGCTTTCTTGTGTTCTACTGTCTGTCCGAGACGCATGCCTCCCTTTTGTCCACCAGGTCTCCTCCCAATGAGCCTAAATACTCCTTTTTAAAATTTAGAAAGTATAGAAAATCAAAAAGGAAAAACAAAGAGAAGTTATCTCTAACGCCACCCCCCGGAGATACTTTGCTGCTCTTTCACGCCTTTTTGTTTGCTCAGAGCCGCTGTTGTTTCAGGATCAAACAGTCCACTCCTTCCCAGACCTCAGAGTTTTCAAGTTTCTTTCGAGGGATGTTTGACTCATGAGTCTGGCTTCCCGGCACCGATGTGACTGGTCTGCTTTTCTTGTTTCTTTTCTCCGTGGAGCCTCTACCCTCACACGCTTCCTGGGAAGGACCCAGGCTTTTCTTTCCGCCAGAGTGTGGGCCGTATTTGGACAATGGCCCTGCCGCTAATTAGGTAGTTTTGGTTCCTCGGTGCCCGGCTTTGAAAATACCAGGAAGAGAGAGCGAGCAGGGCTGTCAGCTATAGAAGCCTCTCTCTCCTAAAAGGCCTGGAGGCCGGTGGCTGAGGGTTTGTTGGGAGGGAGGAAGGGGATCTGTTTTCAACTGTCAAAAAGGAATAGTCCCCATCACTGACTTTAACGACTATAAGAAAATCTTCTCCTCATTCCCAAGGCTCTTGTCTGGGTTCGGGAAGGGCTCTCTGTCCCTCACCCCCACCGTCTGCTGCCCAGAGTCCATGAGTGGTTCCCTCACAGCGGGGCCCGATCCATGTCAGCAGCCCCAGCCCTGGCCTCCACACATGCTGCTCGGGCAGCACACACCTCGCTTGCGTGTTTGTAGACATCTGATATTCTCTCCTAAATGTTTAGATGGAAAAATCCAGGGTGTGTGGTGGGGAGAGGAGGCCTGTGGAAGGTTGAAGAATCTGCAAAAAGGCTCTTGCTCTCTCTCCCCGCCCCCTCCCTCTCCCCAAGCACGCCTGCTCAAATATTCCTTTTGAGTGTGTTTTTCCTAAGCTCCGAGGGCCCTTCTTTTGCTGTAACGTGTTTCCGGAGCCCATTTCTTCTACAGCTCACTTCTCCCTTTGTAACTTTCTAAATCAACTTTCTCATCATTTGAAAAGTAAAAATCCGTAAACATGCTTCCCTCCTCGCCTCTTCCCTGCCGGGTGGGTTGTGTTGAAGGATCCCTCCTGGGGAAGCACTCAGCCTGTGGGGACCCCCAGCTGTGCAGACCCCTTGCAGACTGCCTGCCCCCCTCTGTGCGGGAGGGAGGGGCGTGCTTACAGGCCTCTTCCAGGAAAGCATGCTTGAGGTGCAGCATCCTGGCTGGTGTTCTTTCGCCTGGGTAGTGGGCTTCTCTGTCTGCTGGGACTCTGAGGCTCATTTCCTGGTCTTCTGCCTCTTCTGTTGCTTCTTCGGGCTTTCTTCATTCCCACTGAGATTGTTCTGTTGGCATGGCCTGCCTGCTTCTACCTCTGTCCTTCCCACTGTCCTCATCTTGACTGTTAAATAGATTAGGCATTGTCTTCAATCCACTCAACGTCTTATAACAAAGAAAGGCTCTCACCTGTAAAACAAAACAAAACAAAACACCCACCTTCCTTCAGTAGAGTGGGCCACCAAATAGGGATTTTGAGCTGCTAGAGTCTTTAATGCAAGCTTAATTCTCATTTTGCTTTTTTAAAATTTTTTTTTATTACCATTGACTTGCCACTACACTGTCTTACCAAGAGGAACTGGGGAATTTGAAGGCAGAAGTCCTCTGTCCTTGGAGTCTCTGAGAATGACATGTCCCCACAAGCCTACTTCCACCCAGCTCCCCAGTGCGGAGCAGATATCCTCAGGGAGGATCGGTCTAGCTGCAGCCTGCTGCAAAGAAAACAAACCCCTCCTCACCCCCAGGACAACCCACGTCACCAAACCATGCTGGGTTGATCATGTGAGCTTCCTCACAGGGTCTGAGGCCACCCATGGAGAGCTCAGTAACGTATAAAGTCACTTATAGAAACACGATTCACAGTGGTTCTACTCCCCAGAATCCAAAGAGGGTGAGAGTGTCATTTGCTCTGTTTGGCTAGATGAGCATCTCAGCTCCTCCTCCTGCTAAAAGTCTTCCTGCTGATCTGGATCATAGGCACCATTAAGCTCAGCATATCAGAAACTGAACTTGGAACTCCTGCGCTTTGCTGGATTTTTCTTCTGGTGCTCATCCTTCCTTTCCCTGTCTGACAACCCTGTCACCTCTTTCCACTAGCCTAACCTAAGCCCTAATCTAACTATTCTGTTTACAAAGTGTATTTCAACCTGCCCTCTCTTCCTTTTCGGGCCACAGTTATCTCTTCTGAGAGGTGGCAGAAGCCAAAATAGCCTCCCTTCCCTAGTCCCACCACTCCAGTGTATCGTACACAGCCCTGCGATAGTTACTATTAAAAAGTAGAATCTGACAAGTCTGTTGCTTGGGAGCTTTGTATATCTAGACAGGGCTTGTCAACGAGGGCTTTGCTTTAGTGATGCAGGTAAACCCTGGCACTGTCATCTGTCCTTGGCATTAGCTCTTTCCTCTTGGGCTGGTCAGCTTCCCCAGAGAAGACTCCTCCAGGCTCCTGCTGTGGAGGACGAGGTCCTGGTAGCCAGTGTCC